AAGCCTGGTCTGCCCCAAGAAATGCTCCTGCAACCCAGTAACAGTGGTAAGTGAAGCCACCCAGCACACAGTCCTGTCAAGGGAAGTTATACTGCTATCCTAAAAATAATTGTGTTCCTATCAGCAAAATGCAGTGTTTGGAGTAAGTATACATTTTTATTGGGAGAAAAATCACTAATATGATCCAGTCTGCTCAACTTGTTAAAACAATGTTATATTTTTCCACATCATCATTCTGGCATCAAAGGAAATCATACCTAATTATGTTTATGGGACTGAGGGAATAGACAGAGACCTAGATATGACAGTCTTGGAGAAGTGTGGTGAAATGTATAATGCAACACCTCTCAGAATATGTACAGTGCCATCTCTCCCCATGTCACTTACCTAGAACAAGAAACTTTGAAGTATAAGAAGTTCTGCTGCTGCAAGGTGCTTTAAGTGACAGCAAGAAGGAAACAAACAACTGGCTGTAAATATTCTGCTTAGCTCCCCTGTGCCGAGACTTGCAGGAGAAAATAGGTGGTTTTAAAGCAAAGTAAGTGAAACAAATGATAATTACCATTTTCCCCCAAGGGTCTGAACAGGAGCATGAAAAGTAAAGCACTGCTATTGTGTTTTTGATGGTGCCCCACACCATGCTGTTCTGCTCTCCAGGTATTTCCTTTGAAGGAAAAAACAGGTTCAAAAATGCTGTAACATCTGTGACGGTTTATCTGGAGCAGCCAAAGCACAACAGTGAGGCTTCATCACTTGTATAAGTTTTTTTGGGGGATCATCCATGTTTCTTCACATGCCAACCAGGTTATGAGGGGTAGGAGTCGTCTTGACTAGCTTCAGCCCACTCCAAAGCAGACATAGGGTATCATCTCACCCCGCTCTGTAAGGCTAAGATAGGCACCTCCAGGCATGAACTTTTTCCCTTTGGAGGAAAGATGGGAGCTATGGCCCTCCAGAGGTACCTGCTGTTCCCAGTAACTATTACTAGTGTAGTAGTTACTGCACTACTCTAGCAAACATCTACAAAAACTCCACCAGACAGATGCACGAGACAGAAAACAGGACTGTACCTAAACCCAGCTGAAGCAGAAACACCTTGATGAATTCTGACTGGTCTTTCTGTGGACACTTAATAAAAAGATGGTGAAAGTCTTTTAATAGTCTTAGGGGTTTTAACAACTCAGACATGCACCTTTCTCACAAGAGCAATAGCTCCTGATTGTTCTTGCTTTCCTCAAAAATAATAATAATAGTGTTTTCTGGAGAAAACCTTGTGATTTCAGGACTGTCCAAGCACTGATCCTACCACTTCCAGAGCAAAGCATAAGCATTTTGCTTCAGCTCTTTTCCAGTTACTTAGCTGTTACACTTTTCACTGTATTGCTTGTGTTGGTACCTTTCCTGAACTACAAAGCTGCTAGAAGCCAAATTTCTGCTCCCATCTCACAGAAGTTCTCGCTTCCAAAACTCCAACAAGCACCTACTGTTTTTCTCCTCCAAGATGTAGCACCTCCACCCTAATCCAAGATCCAGCTGATGACTTCTGGCTGTTGTGCCTTCATTTTGCTTGTGGTGCCAGAACATTTTGCTCCTTTCTCCCAGCCAACTGCAGAGTCAGAACAGTTGTGCCTAATGCACCTGGGGTCAGCACGGACAGACACACAATGGTACAGCACTTCTGCACTTCAACCCACATCAGCCAAGTGCTGTATTCTTCTCAAGGGCCTCCCCAAGGGCTTTTGGAAGCTATAAGCACACAAACCAGCCTGTCCCTGCAATGTGAGAAAAACAGTAAGAATCTTGACATATGTTACAGGTCATCCTGTTTTGCGTACTTTTTGGAGTGAGAAAAACAAATGAAGTGGCATGCAGCAGCATCCATTGCTTGGGGATTATATCACATGGGTCATCAACCAGCTATCAGGCAGTGTGCAACCCCCAGTAAAGTTCAATCAGCAACCTAATGACAGAAGACTACATTCTGGTTACCTCAGATAATTAATTCCCTCTGGAAAATCTTCTAAAGATTCAACACATTATTTACTTTGTTACCTGAAACTGCTTTATAAAAGAGTCACTTCAACAAAACAATCTTATTCTACAAACTCAACAATGCATTTTTCCAACTAGTTTATTTTAAGAATTTGTCACCTGACAAAAGCAAGCTATTCTTCAGCTTAAGGAAACAGTTCACTTATCAAATCACAGTAATTTCTTGTACAGTGCATTTTCTCCTGCTGCGTACACATCCAAATAAACCTCCTACATCAGCACTCCCAAATGAAACTATGACTAGCATCACTAACTCTGGGTCAGCACTGACTGCAGCTGACCCCAAGCAAATCTGCCTGAAGCACTGAAGCAGCTCTCCACACCACACAGCCTCATGGTGCTGATGGTCAGTGGCACTAGCTTCTCCTCATACAGAGTTAAGTCAGCACGATTTCCTAGCTCATCCTTCAGGAGCAGCAAAGGGGCTGTGTCGCATCCCCATCCACCTTTGTCACCACTGGAAGGCAGAGCCAATAAATCCTGTCAGGATCAAGCCAGCATCTCCTCAGCACATCGGCAGACAAAGTAACTCACTCTCTTTTCCTCCTGCCCCACTCTACACCGATGCTTTTAGCATCACAGATATGGGTCAAGAGAAGAAAATTAAACATACCACTTTGTTTTCTATTCACTTAAAGGTGGGATACAATTGGAGGGGACATTTCTGAAAGGCTACCAAAGTCTAGTTAACCTGTTCTCAAGGTTGAGGAACTTGCTAGATCAAGAGTGAACTAAAGGTAGCAGAGGCAGTAATTGCAATAAGACCCCTGCCCTCCTGCACTCTAGCCATATTTCTCCCTCTCTTCTTTCTCATCTGCTTTTTCTTCTTTTCCCACTACTCCTTTTTCCCTCCTCCCTCTTGCACACACCAGGCCAGCAACTGTGCTCAATGCCAGCTAGATTGGAACTTGCTCCTGTCATCTCAGAATCATGCTATTGTTAAGGTTGGAAAAGAACTCCAAGATGACCAAATCCAACCATTTGCCATGTCACACAACTGAAAGCAGAGACACAGAACACAGGCACACCACCATGAGAATGAACACTTCCTGCCACATGGCAACAGATTACACAGGAAGAAAGGAGGAAGAAAACAAAAGAAGGGAAAAGAGAAGGAAAAAAAAGACGAGGGAGTGACAAATCTTTCAACAATAACCTTAGAACTGGTTTCTCCAGTAACTGGTTAAACAGTTACTAGCTTTTTCTTCTCTAAAATAATGCCTTCTGTTTATAAAAAATATTGCAAGAATATACTCCACGAGGAGTCAAGAGCATATTGCATCTCAACCACACGCACGACTGAACAGCCTGATGTAGAAGCCTAGCAGGCCTCGGGTTTGTTACAGCCCACTGGAAACAAGAAGTGCCTTCTGAACACACCTCCTCACTGTTAAGCACAGTCCTACAAGCAGCAAGACTCAAAATTTTACAAATATCACCAAAGTGGCATAAGTCGGGGACTAAACACCAATTGTCTCCCCTGCACAAGAAAAAGCTTTATTTCAAAGCCAACGTGACCATCTAAAGCGCGCATGTGATGGAGCACAGTCAAGGTCTGACCCTGTCAGGTCACTAAAAATGCAAGATACTTGAAGTACTTGAATGCAAAGTAACTTTCAAAACTTGTGGCAATGCACAAGCTTGATCCTCCTTTGTGCCAGGTTCAGCACTTGCAGCTAAGGACCCGGTGCCATTACACAGTCTTTTGCATTATGTGGAAAGCTTGTCCAAAAAATGTGTCCAGATGGCGACTGAAGGCAACAGAAGTCCATAGAGCACCTGACCAGAAAGATAAATTAGTGCCTGTTCTTTCCAAGATTTCATTGTATTTGCCTCTAATTTGGAGACGGCAGCCAGTCAAGCATCAGCGAGTGAATGAATGGCTTCAAGAGGCATTGCTGTGCCACTGCAGAGGGTCCCACATGACACCTGCATCGCCACGTGTGACCACATCGTCAACACTAGTCCCCGTGGCATAGCAGAGTCCACAGAGGTGGGCAAAGGGAGTCAGGGTAGGGTATGCACTAGTTCAGCTGATGTTGGACGTCACCAGGCAGTCGTAGCTCAAGCACAAAGTAATGTTTGCAAATGACCACAGGCAAGCGAGCCAGCTAACTCATGAACCTTCAGAACCATCATCATCAGCTCTTCAGCCCAGATCAGCAGCCTCTGCAGAGCTGCAACTGCCTTTCTGTCACTAATCTATACAGCACCTACAAAAACACCACCTTGCTCCAAAACTAAGGTTTCCAGCAGATGACAACAGAACTAACGAGCAATTTCCTATGTAGTCCCAATCTTCCTCTCCAGCCTTAGCTGCATACAAATTTCCTCTTAAGGATTTTTAATGGGTTGGTTCCCCATTGCTCCACCCCATCTGCCACCCACATTCATACACATGTAGAAAACGGTAAGACCCATATGTGAGCCAGAGCAGCTGCCTGCAAAGCGCTGACAGACCAAATGGAGACAATTCCCTGTCCTGCTCACAGGAGCAGGTTCGGGAGCAGCAGGCTGCAAGAACTCCTGGGATACGGGCCTGGCTATGAGCCCTATGGGCGATACCCGCATTCTCGGCAAATTCTAAGTCTCTTTTGCAATTTGACGAAGGAAGCAAAGCCCAGCATGGCAGCCCCCCGGGAGCCACCCTGGAAGGCCCTCAGGGGCACGGCCCAGGGTCTCTCCACGGCACCTGGGCCTTCACCTCCAGCACAGCACGTTCCCTGCGGCGCTGCTGGCACCGCAGAGGAGACAGGCAAAAAAAGGGGAGGGGGTGGGGGGTCAGGCGAGGGGAGGCGAGAGGAGGGGGTCGCTCCGGCAGGGACGCGCCGCGGGGCCGACTGCGGCCCAGGAGCGCCTGGGAGCGCCCAGGAGCGCCGCGCCCTACACGCCGCACCGCAAAATGGACGCGCCGCGTGGAGCCCCCGCCCGCTCCGTCCCACACTCACCCAGCCGGGGGCTCGGGCAAGCGGTGAGGCAGCGCAGCCGCGAACCCCGCTCCCCGCTGCCGCTTTAGATCTCCTGCGCGGGCCCGCCCCACCGCACCTCCCAATGAATGGGAGGCGCTCACTGTTCCACGTGGGAAAAGCCCTACGTGTGTAGGGGGTGGGGGTAGCCTACGGCGGGATGGAGGGGGAGGCCGGCTTGTGGAACCCTGGATCACCGGGCGCGGGAGAACCGCGTGGCTGGGCACGGCCGCGGAGATCGCCTCCGTGGGGCAGGAAGGGGCTTCACAGGCCAGCTCCCTGCAAACAGCTCATGCCGCTCGTTTGGCGTGGGCTGAAAAGCTACTCGGCTTTTCTTTTTCTCCTGATGCTCCCTGGGAGTGAGAACTGAGGGGCAGGGTTGGACTAAATCATCCATTCGGCTGTAACACACATCCAGCTCTAAGAGCTGACGGATTCTGCAGAACATGGTTGAGCAAGAGATGCCAGCATGAAATGGATGCAGTGGGTGTCACAGAATGTTAAGGGTTGGGAATGGACCTTAAAGGTCATCCAGTCCTAAACTCTCCTGCTGTAGGCAGGGACACCTCCCACTCAATCAGGTTGCTCAAAGCATTATCCAATGTGTCCTTGAAGACTTCCAGGGTTGGGGTATCCACAGTCTCCCCGGGAAACTTGTTCCAGTGTTTCACCACCCTCAGAGTAAAAAATTTCTAATATTTAACTTAAATTCCTCCCTTTTCAATTTTTACGCATTACTTCTTGTGCTGTCACTACAGTTCCTGACAAAAAGTCCCTTACCAGCTTCCCTGTACTGGAAGGCTGCTCTGAGGTCTCCACACAAACTTTTCTCCAGGCTGAACAGCCCCTGATAAGGGCACTAGAACAGCATTTCACTCACTTGATAGGGAACAACATTTCTTACCAAGGACAGTAGAACAGAACAGCACAGCCTTGGAGAAATAAATGAAGGATGTAACTTAGGCAAACAGAATTCATGCAAAATGCAAGCAGGATGCCAGCTCAGCTCTGCAAGGCTGAAATAGTAGAAGTTAAGCAAAACAATCTTGGCTGTACTTAATGAAAAGCGGGGGTCAAAGAATAGCCCCCTGAAAAGGACACTGGACTTTGATGATGACCCCTAAAGAACGAACAGAAGGACTTTGATAAGGATTGAGACTGTGTGAAATAAAGTTAAGGAAGTGGGGATAGCTAGTGAACATGTAATCAGTGTTTTTGATAAAAACTGTACACCTGACACTTAGGGCATCGATTAGAGGAAATATCTTCCAGCATGCTGTAATAAAGAATGCCTTCTATCTAGTACTCAGAACTGTGCTAGAAAGTTTCTATCCAGCTAACTGCAGTACTGCATCTCTCTATCTGTCTTCTCAGGAGAGGTGTCTGTCTTGGTGTACAAGACAGATGTCTGCTAGGGAAGGCAGAAAAGCCTCCCTTGGAATGGAGACTATAAACCCCCTCCCTCCAAATTATCAGAATCTTGACATTAAGGGCCTCTTAGGCAAAGATGTGGGAATAGGAATCACAGTTCTTCTCTGGTGTGTATAATAAAGCAACAAACAACAACAACTACGGCGCTAACACATAACAGAGCCCGGAACCTTCGGTGCAGCTCCGGTCACGGCCAGCAGGGGCGCTGCTGCGCCCGGCGGGCGGGACGGGTGCGGTGACTCCCCCGGGCCTGCAGGGGGCGCTGTGGCGCGGGCTCGGGGAGCACATGGCGATGGCGGCTCGGCTGAGACGGCAAGGGATGGAGGGGAGGCTTCGCTTCACAAAGCCCCTGGGCAGGCAATCTCGGTGCCCCTGACAGGACTCTTGGAAGCAGCAGGCTGGAAACAGCAGGAATGAGCAGAAGTCCTGGGGCAGGGAATGAGGATGTCCCAAAACTCCACGGCATAATAGGTGGCACTGCAGGGTGTCCTGGCAGGGCAGGGTTCCCCACTGGGTCACGGTGGTGATAGGAGAAGGCAGCAGGGCCGGAGCCTCACTGTGGTGGTGAATCCTCTCCACAATGCCTGCAGCCTGTCTCCCCTCCATGCCGAGAGAACGAGAGCCAGCCAGGAACTGCCCTTAGCACCTTCTCGCAGCCTCAATCTCTCGGTATCTTTGCCACCTCCCCCCCAAAAAAATCCCACAAACTAAGAGTTCCCCTTGCCTGCCTGTCTCAAACCTGTCAGTTCCAATTAGCAACTCAATGGGAAGAAATTCTACAGGTTTCTACAGGTTTCCACAGGAAAGAATAGAAAAAAACAAAACCTAACCCCCAACAGTGTCCCAGTCCTCCTACCAACTTTGTGACCACCCTTTGGACTTGCTCCAACCATTCCATGACCTTTTTATGTTGGAGACACCAGAACTGTGCACAGCACTCCAGGTGGGGTCTGACAAGAGCAGAGCAGAGGGGGAGAATCACCCTCAGCCTGCTGGCCATGCTGCTTTTGGTGCAGCCCAGGATTCAATAATGGTAGACACTGGTGGATTTGGATTAGGCTTTTTACATTACCTCCCATGAAGCACAATGCTCCCAATCTGGAAAATACACTGTTAAAGAAACTTCCATGGCTGACCCCAAAACTATGGCAAACAGCCCAAAAGAGCTGTGGATGTTGGAAGAACAGCATGGTGTCTGTGCCACGCTTGACAACATCCCATTTCCATTACCATTCATAAGAGATCACTATGGGAAAACTGTCCAGTGTGCTGCAGGATGAGATAGCATCTGAACATGAATCTTGAAGAAACATCAAGATTCAAACTGTTCAAAAGAAAGTGGAATTCTAGAAAGGAGGAGAGTGATAGTTAAGGAAAGAAAACCAAATAAGCAGTGAAGAACATCTGGCTGAGCAACCAATTAAAATTGCATCAGAGGAGGTTTAGCTTGGATATTAAGTAAAACTTCTTTAATTTTTAAGAAAAACAACAAAAAGGTTGTCCAGCAAGGGAGCAGGCAGCCCAGGGAAGTGGGGAAGTCACTATTCCTGAAGGTATTTGAAAGATGTGTAGGGACACAGGGCTTAGTGCTGGACTTGGCAGCACTGGGTAAATGGTTGAACTTGATGATCTTAGAGGTCTTTTGCAACCTAAACAACTCTGTTTAGAAAGAGATCAAGAGATTAAAGTGGATACCAAAAGCCATGTGAGACTGCTAATGGTGCTAATGAAAAATACCACCCAAAAAAATTGGATCTTTCTAGTAGAGCACCTTACTTGAAACTTATGTAGTGCATAGAAAGTAATTATGAAGTTGTCATCAATAGTGCCAAATCTTTAGTACGGTGCTAATTTTGGCATTTAACCATAAAGAAATACATCTACTTGGTGGAATCCTGAAAAAACACTGGTAGGAACCACATTCATTAAAGAAAAGTGCAAGGAATTGTTTTTCAGGACAAAGGTAGAGAGTAGAACAGTCCTTCAGTGATTAAGAGGCAAAGGTATAAACACTAAAGGAAGAATGAAATTTTTTAATGTCAATCACAATTGCACCATGCTCATTAACAATTGCCCACTGGAGGGGCTGGAGGACAATTTGGAGGTAAGCATTAAAAAAACCCCTAAAACAGTGTTTTACTGCTGTGTTTCTTCATCAGCTGCTCCATGTGAGATCAACATCTATACCTGTCATGTTGCCATCTGCTTCTGCCTATCACTTCCATAGAACCCTTGTCCTCTGTTATTATAGATGTGGTTGCATAAATAAGGGGAGTGCTGGTCTGAGATAATGGCTCCTAAAATTGTTCTTGGAAAGAAACCCTCTCTTTTATGCCAAGCTGAAATACCCAAGACACCAAGTATCAATTAATAGGAAAAAGACCCCAACCAAACAACAGCTCTGAAATTTCTCTTCTTTCTGCTGGAATTACACTCTTTATTCAAAAATCATTTCTCACACCTTAATCCTTCCTTGCTCTTTAATTAATCAGCTGATCTGCCTGTCCTAGTTCATTTTAATCTGTGGAACCCATCATACCAACTAACAGTATCTCAAATAATCCTTAGACACAAGAGCTGTTAACACAAGGCTGTGGCCATTCCCTGTTTACATACAAGCACTCAATTATGGAAGGTAAGAGGATATAATAGTGCAGACATTGACCATTCTGTTCCATAAGCATTTTCTGTCTTCAGCAAGCTTAGTAGATTAATAAAAAAGCAGTCCATACAGCTGTTTGTGGAACAGTGCTTAGGGACATGCCCCATGTTTCACTACCAAGCACAGATGTGGGCTGGATGTGTGAAGCTAAGTGTGAGATGAATACTGCCTTGTGTCCCACAAAACCATGATAGGTAAGGCAGTGAGGAGAGCAGAGCTGCTTTAACTAAGCACTTCAACGTTTTCTTCAAAATTTATCAAGCCAAATGTGAAGATGTAACAAAAGGTGTACATGGAGTAATGCAGCAGTTGTCTATCAGTTTAACAAAAAAACAGTTATCCAGTGGTTAATGACCTCTAACAGTACATGACTGAAGTCATCCAAGATGTCCCAACAACAAGTGTCATTTGTATCATCCCAGTCTCAGAAGCTAGACTTGTGTTACTAAATAAGGTGGGCTTGTTCTCTGTCTTTGAGGGCACAGCACAGCTTACATCCATTCAGCAAAACCCTCTTATTCTCCAAAACAACTCCATAGCAGGGTGACCACCTCCAAACTGCTCACTGGGAAGAACAATCTGATGCTATCCCATGAACTGTGCACAGGCATTTCCTGGGAGAGGCCTGTCTTGTTTAGACTGTACCTGTAGCAGGAACTGTTTAACACCATGGGCAGTTGAGGACTGGCACACCATCCTGAGCCCTCACCATCCTTTATTTGCTGCTGCAGGTGTAGCCAGGAAGGCTGGAGCTTTGCTGTGAACCTAGAACCAAACAAGATGGTTTTGGACATATGGCTTTGGCATTTCCTCATGAGTAGCTCAGACACCACACCAGTTGTTGCTTTTAGCCCCCAGAATGTGGCTTTCTCTCATTTACTAGTCAGAAGAATAAGACATCTTCCTTAGCATTGTACATTTTGTTCCCAGAGCTAAATT